TTTGTGAAAATGGGATGGAAAACAAGGTATATGACAAGGGGGTGTATTACAAGGACGGTAACTTTACCCAATACTTATTGCCTCGTGTCCTCAGCCCGCAAAGATAAAAATACAGTGAAAGGGCAATAGGAGAGGAGAAAAGGAGGGAAGACGGGAATGGAGGGCGAGAACGAGGGAAAGAGGAGGAGAAGCAAAAACCTTGAGGATGAGGCGCTTGTCTTGTTGATGGTACAAGACTTTCATAAGAAGAAAGTGATGGGTCGTTTCCATGCCGATACCTCCGCCTGCAAAAGAGAACAGCACGAAGGGATGGACGAGAAAGGGGGGGAGTCAGGGAATAGGGAGGGTTGGGAGAAGGAAGGAGAGCCTTTGAAGGGGAGACAGAAGGTGGGAATTGCGAACCTGATAGCAATCTTTGAGGGAGAGAAAACGCTCGTAGTAATGGTCCTGTCGAGGGAAAATGGCGCCCATGTAGGGAGAGAGGCCCGACAGGTTCGCGATGGCGAATTAATCTTCGAAAGGGGAGCTAAGGCCGAGCTGGAAGAATGGAGGGAGGGAAATAGGAGAGGAAAGAAGACATGTAAAGAGAGGAAGGGAGGCATGGTGGGAGGAGGGGGGAAGGGAAAAGAGGAGGGAGGAAGAAAAGATGGGGAGAAGAGGGGAAGAGAAAGTTGGTGGGGCAGGCCTAGGAGGGAGGATCAAGGGAGCATATCATTACCAGCAGGACAAAGAGAAGTGTTCAAAAAAGATCACAGCATTGTGATTTTTGGATGTCTGTCTTTTCTTCCTCCCTCGCGCCGTCCCTCTCTCCCTCTTTCTCCCTTCCTTGCGCCTCCCTCCGACACTCAGCTGTCCATGGGCCGTTCCATCTGAAGCCCTGCAAACTTCTTGGTCATGAACCTCTAGAAGGACGAAATGAGGGATTGGCGGAGGGAGGAATGAGAGGGATGAAAGGGGATCGATGGTGAGGAGAGCCACAGGGGCGAATGCCGCCGGGCCTAGGGCAGGGAGGAGGGCGAGGCGCCGCCCTACATTCAAATCTCAAAATACTAGAATGCAAATGACACCGCATCGAAAAAGACCCTGGCTTCCATCGTCTTCCTACTGTTATCTTTCTCCCTATCCCTTTGTCTCTCACCTCCCTCCCCACGACTATTCGCGGGACGGAGCATTGGAAGGCCGTGGGGGCCACAAACCTCTCGTCATTGTTCAAGAGCTCATGTAGAAGGGAGGTGCCGTTCCGGTA